GATAGATGAAAACCTTGGCTTCCTATTGGTTATAAGTAATATAGTATTAAACATCAGAGAGAACTACTGGCAATTTCTGAAAAAGAGGATTTGACAGGTGGGCATGGCAAGAGGGGTCTGGTGGTCTATTTCATGGCTCTGTAACCAAATAAGATTGAAGGCTATGAAAATTTTGCTTTGCCTGAGCAATGACAATATTATAATGAGTAATTTACATTAAATTTCCTACTTCTGAGAGGGGTGGTAAATGAATTAGAGAAGAAGGGATGCCTAAAGAAAAAATGTCACATTTCAAACACTAGGAAAATTCAGGATCTTTTTTAATATTGCCTTATAAAATTAAGAACTTAAAACTTATATACTATTAAAATATGGATTATTAACCACGTTTTTATGCTATATTTATCAGTATACCATAAAAAGGTAGTGTAATTATATTTTGAATGAAACTCACTAAACTCTCGTGGCATGTGCAAAAAAAGATTCCCTTGGAGAGAGGATTAAGTTGCACCATAGACAAAGATACCATGGCAAATATATTAACGTTTTACAGATTGTAATAGAAGCTGCCAGGGAAATATAATCAGTAACTGCTTCCACACAACCATTAATGAAGGGTAGGTAAATGACAACAGGATCACGTTTGTGAGAGAGTGATGAAGGAGGGCCAGCTCCACCATGGCATAAGAGTTAGATGGTATCAACCAAAGCTAATCTCTCTCAGAATGATGGGAAAATTATCACTGCTTTGAGGATCACTGTTTACTTTCCAAGAAAAAGCAAGGAAGACGAGAATGGGAAGAAACAGATAGATCAATGACATAAAAAAGATGACTTGGGGTATGAAAATAAATAGATGACTCAATGTTCAAGAGGGAAATGATGTGACTTGAGGGCATACTCTCCAAGATCGACCCCTATCATCAATATTATTACTATTTCAGAGGAAGGGGATTGTGTGCTTTAAAGTTTCTCAGGATAAAGAAGGGAAAGGGCAACTGCTCAGTAAGATAATTAAAGTTTGCCTGATGGAAATACTCTTCTGGTGACAGGTAAAGAAAACAAGATGTGCTGGTACAATTATGGAGTATGAATGCTGGCAATCAGCAGTGCAACACCTCCATGACCCCATCCATCACATTACCCGACTTTCTTGTACAAGGAAACCGCCAAATGGTGACAATATCGGCAGTTTTCAAGAATTTCTTCTATAAGGAAATACATACAGAATGGTAAAAATCAACCAAAGTCTTAATTTTATCTAAAGTAGAGGGTACACCTTGATAATTCCACTATATCAGTGGCCACTTTCACCTAAGATTTCGAGATGACTTAGGTTGGGAGCCTTTTGGTTTTGTGACCACTTTTATTTTATTTGAAGCAGGTCTATCAACTTCAATGGATCTTGCCCTCCTGAATCAACAAGGCAGGTCCCCATCAGATGAATGTTTCTAGTGAATAAGGGTGGAACTGAATAATGGTCCTGCACCTCAGGCCCATTGGAGTTGGACCAAATCATTCATTATTTCTAGTGATGGGACACAGAAATTGGTGTAGACATGGACTTGTCTATGTGTTTTTTCATGGGAAAAAGGTCCTTAACATGGGTAGAGAAAGACTGTGGGTGGGACAGAGAGATTTGTCTGCACACCCACTGTAGCAGTGGAACATAGTGCAGCAGTTTAGAAGAGAAGTTACCATCTTCAGTGCTTTTGGATAATAATTATTGTTGATAATTATGTGTTGTATCTATTTTTCTTTAATCCATTTCATACATGATTCAGAATATGAGGGGTGGAAATTGAGTAATTGAGGCAGTAAGGCACTTGTTGCTATCATGGTCTTTGCCTCCACAATATTTACAAGTTAGAGAACCACGGCAAGAGGTTTTGGTGTGTACAAACCACCCACAATATAAATACCCTGCCATAACAGTGACAGGTGAATGTGGTGTTGTAATGGTCATGATCAGAACCCTTAAAAATTCCATTCATTTGAATAGAGATATGCTTCACAGCTTATACTTCTTGACTGGATAGACCAAAGAGAAGGTTTGACTTGGGGATGTTAATCAGATCCTTCTTGATGACAACTCTTCTTGAGGAATTCATAGTATGGGAAGTAACCTCAATAAGACTTCAAAAGGAATTTACTATCATTTGGTTGTGAAGTTTCAACCAAATGGTTCACAGTTAGTAATTTCTTAACTTACTTTGGGGACTCAGCAAGTCCCTCTTAAGTTTTTTGGTACAGATATTTGAGAAAGATACTTTTCTGATAAAGAGTGTAAAATCAGAAAATGATATACAGGAAGTAAAGGCGAAGGCAACAACATTTTAACAAAATCTTTTATCTGTGGTTGCTTACTGATAATTACCATTTTTTTCTTTGTGTTTGTAATATCCATAAGAAAAAACAAAACAAATTCAGCACTCACTGATTTCCACCCACCATGAATTGCAACAAGCAGATGCACTATGCTATCAAACCATGACAGTGTAGCAACATCAGGGTTTTGTGGGCACTATACTCAAAAACCAACACTGGACATAAAATCCACAAAAACTGTTAAGGATGTCTGATACTGGTGCTTGGTTGACCCTAGCGACAATGGACAAGCAGACTAATCCTGGGGGATTATCTCAAGGAATTCAAGGCTAAAGTGGTGTGTTGTAGTGTACCATACACTCTTCAACTGTTGGGATCCTATCCTCCCCATCACAGGAAGCCATGTACAACAAACAAATGGGTGTATATTTGAATCCCAGAGAAGGTAAACTGTAAAGGCAGAACCTTTCCTGGGAAGTTCCCTCATACTAAAATTAAGCAACCATTCTAACTCTGCTGCATGAAAATGTTGGCTAACAAAGTTATTATCACAAAAGTAACATACAATCATCAATAATACTGGCTAATAAACTTATTATCACTTGAAGTAATGGTTAATAAGCCTACTAACAATTACAGTAATATTTAACAAGTCTACTATCAACTACAGTAAAAGTACACAGCCTACAATAACTTACAGCAATGGTTAACAAGCCAACAATCAGATGCAACAATATTTATTAAGCTTATATGTAGCAATGACTGATAAGCTTAGTATCACACACACACACACACACACACAAAACAAATGGTTATCAAGCCCAAATAACATCCACACTATAGGTTTTTCAACCTATTAGCATCTAGAGTTAATAGTGATCAAACCTATTGGCATCTTACAGTAAGTTATCAAACCTATTAGCATTTTACAGTATCAGTTATCAAACCTATTAACATTTTACAGTAACAGTTATCAAACCAACTAGCATCTAGAGTTAACAATGAGTAAACCCACTAGCATCTACAGTAATAGTTATCAAACCCACAAGCATCTAGAGTTAACAATGAGTAAACCCATTAGCATCTACAGTAATAGTTATCAAACCAACTACCATCTAGAGTTAACAATGAGTAAACCCACTAGCATCTACAGCAATAGTTATCAAACCTACTAGCATCTAGAGTTAACAATGAGTAAACCCACTAGCACCTACAGTAATAGTTATCAAACCCACTAGAATCTAGAGTTAACAATGAGTAAACCCACTAGCATCTACAGCAATAGTTATCAAACCTACTAGCATCTAGAGTTAACAATGAGTAAACCAACTAGCACCTACAGTAATAGTTATCAAACCCACTAGAATCTGGAGTTAACAATGAGTAAACCCACTAGCACCTACAGTAATAGTTATCAAACCCACTAGAATCTAGAGTTGAGTTATCATACTTACTAGCATTTAGAGCTAACAGCTATTAAAACTAATATCATCTACAGTTAAGAGTTATCACACCCACCAGCATCTACAGCAATAGTTATAAAACCAACTAGCATCCAAAGTTAACAGTTATGAGGCTTCCTAACATCTTTAGTAGGCCTCATAGTAATAGTTATCAAACCCATTAATATCTAGAGTATTAGTTATAAAACCTACTAGCATCTAGAGTTTACAGTTATGAAGCCTACTAACATCTTCAGTAATGTTTATCAAACTTACTGACAGTTAAAGTTAACAGTTGTTAAGCCTACTAGCATCTAGAATAAATGATGGAAGAGGTAGGGGGTTGTAAGGCCTAGGCACTTATCCTTGTATCTTTACCATATATTGTGGACACTTCTTTGCACTTATATAGATCAGGTTTAAAAAACAAAACAAGTATTGCCTGATTGAAAGAAAAATAATCATAATGAAAACTTAATAAGTTACACACAGTTATAGTCTGTAATGCTGAAAATTTAATGTAATCACATTTTAAACTGTGGCCAGTTTTTAAAACCATTTGAATAAGAACATGAGTATCACTAAACATCAGCAACATAATAGGTTTTAGTTTTTCAAGTTGTAGGGAAAAGTTCAGTTCAGATTCTCATTATCTAGAACTATAATCATGTTTAACAAGTACATAAGCAGATAATATCAAAACTGAACGTTTTAGTTACAGAACAATGACATAAAATTAAATGTCATCTAACCTCTTATAATAAGTGATACAAGTGTAGTGTTGAGTACTGGTAAAAAAAGTTATGATTCCAAGGAAGAAAAACAGTCACACACTAGATAGTGAAGAAAGTTAAACAGCCTGACACTAAAAGCCACATAGAAGTAGAAACAAACATACTTTGAAATGTAGCATAGGATAAAACAGGATTGGCATTATTATAACAACTCACTAGGTTGTTCTTACAGATTATGCTTCTTATGTCTCTTCCAGACGTTTTACAGGTTCTTTTCACATCATACTTGTATACATCTCATTGTACAGTATTAAAAAGTATTAAAAGTGCTAACACCTCATGTCTTTTCCAGCATTATTTAATACAAAATTATTTATGCTGTTAGGGATTAAATGTTTTGTCTCTATATAGAAATTCGTCAAAGTACAAGAAAAAAGTTTGCAACATGAATCACAATAAAAGTTTTTATATTTTTTCAAACTCAAGACTATGTTACCTGCATTGCTCCATTTTCTTGCATGCTTCTTAACTGAGCAATTTCCCTTAAAAGTGCTTTTGCTTCTTCTCTAGTCTACAAAAACGTAAAATTCACTAATATTTTACACTGTTTAAATGAATATTATTACATTCAGATTGTAATCACCAATTTGTGGTATTTTAACAAGAAATTTCTAGTTCCTATTTTAAGTAAGGTATATTTTCAATATATGTTACCCCAATAACATTCAACAAAAATATTTTTACACACAGTTATTTCTGCACTTTTAGTTGATTAGATGAAGATAATTACATCTAGATTGAAATTAATAATAATGTGAATATATTAGGATACGTTTAGGATACGTAAGTTTTACGTTATTTTCTAGGCCGGAATAAAACTGCATTTCTAACAAGTTGTATATGAAACAATTTGAGACAAAACCTAACTTACATTCATACATACACATGTATATAATATTCATGAGGTAATATGTAATTTGTAAACAGGTGTACAATTTTATTAGAATAATTTTTGGAATTCAATAAAAAATGAAAAAGCAAACAACAAGCTCAGAGAAACAAAGGTATATACTATCTTATAACAAAACTTTTTCTTATTACTTTGTCCATATGCAATTATCTAGTTACCTCACTATATTCTGTACATTTCTGGGCATTTTCATAAGCTTCTTCTAGCCGCCCATGTTTCTTGTAATAACCAGCAAGGAAACGGAAGGCACTGCTTTGCTCTTCTCTTTCTATTCCCTAAAATTACATAAAAATAACTATAGTAATTCCTAACACTGAATAAGGAAAACTTATATTACCTGTTTCAATAATAAATTATTAAAAATTATTATTTGCTGACTCATTATTGTTTATTGTTTCATTGTCACTCAATAAGTTGTCATAACTTCATCTTTGTGGATGATACTGATGTTTTCACCACAAATTCAAAAATATTTATAAGATGCAATAAAGAAGGAGCTTAGGGAATATTAGGAAATTGGTTTGATATAAATAACTCTTGTTAAACATAACAATTATATAATATTGAGTCACATCAAAAGAAAACACAAAGAAAAATGTATCAAGAAATAGATTAAACTACATTTTTGGGTGTACCAATATAAGATAGTTTACATTTCAAGAATGATTTAAACTGGGCAATAATCTACTTAACAGAAACAAACTACCTGATATTTAAAATGTATAATCTCAACTGTTCATTACTATTTAACTCTTTCAACCCAGGCTCGATCCCTGGGATCGACCTCGTAACCATTTTGTGCTTGTTATAGTTTCATGCTATAACTTTTAAATTAGAAAGCGAATGTTAATGAAATTTGGCAGTTTATCAGTAAAAATTACAATGTCTTCAAATGCAAAATATCTAATTTTTGTATTAAGTCTTAAGGTTTGTAAAGCAATGTTTCTCTTTTTTCTTTTTATATCTTGCCT